GGAAGGCCAGGCCTTTTTGCCATATCATATTCTTTGGTGGGATTGTCGATGAAGCAAACGTATATTTGCTCAATTCACATCATTATGGGAAATTTATTCTACCAGTCCTTCATCACCTTAAACGAAATTGGGCGAATACATCTCGTATAATCCTGGTGCCTCAATTTTTCTGCAACTAATACTCTATAAACAAGCGAATAAATATGCATTATAATTAAGAAGATTGATTTCACTGGACGTCTTAATCGGCCGCAGCTCGAAGCTAGAAATAGTGCTGCTTAATGACGATGGTAATTACAATCCCATTAAAAATTCTGGGAATATATTCAGTGTCCAGTCCGAACTTGGCTTTAATGACAGAAGACGGGATGCGGTGTGTTCTCTACTGTCTCCCTGAAAATATCGATAGGCTACAAAAACGATATCGGCCGAAATATAGACGGTGAAATGAGACTTAAATCAAACACCATCATTGTTTTCGTAGCAATTATGAATATTTCTTGTTATTGATAAAACTCAAATAGCCATTAAAATATGAGCGGTCTTTATTGTTTAGCATATCTATAATGTGCTTTTAATGATAATGCTAAAAGATGAGACAGTACATATACTGTCTCTGATATAAACTTCGAATTGCATATTCAATTAGCGTTGTTTTTGTTAGTTGTCTGGTAAGAAGTCAGATCAACTAATTGCATAGGCAACATGAATGCAATATGAACAAACGCCTCCTGAAAATATGAGGTCTATTCATTTTTGACAATAAAATCTTACGAAAACATCCCGATTGTGTGAGACAATTTTAGCATTACTAAAATAATTGCCCTGTGTACTGGGAAAACAACTAATTGTCAGTATCTTTGAAAGAGCGCAGCAGCTCATCCTTGTTTGCAAACATTTCCATTGTCTGTAATAATCATTGGCAGAAGTATTTCGGAAACCGGAAATACGCATTTCCAGGAAAGCATATGACCCAAAATAGGATTTATGAAATTATTTGAATGATGTGCTTCTATAAACGGAGAAAAATAAAGTTTTGATAAATCTCATGCGACTTTTATTTTGAATGAAATTGCATGAGATCAGATTCTAAGGTCTACCATACCATAAATAGACGGCTGAGTCCCGTTTTAATGCGGCCATTTGGTTTTAATACGATGATCATGTTGAAGCTGTCCACGAGACGTCCTTCTCCGTTTGGGATGAAAAATGGCTGAGCCTTCGTCCATCGTGCGATGAACATCATCAGAAATGGAAGTCATTCCTGCAAAAGTCTCGCATTAACATTAAGTAAAGCGGCTGTTGAAGAAAAATGACTTAGATTTACTTATGCTTAATTGAGAGATTAAAGGAAACAGAGGGTGTGGGCCGCCGTCCAAAAGAAGGCGACCCAACGTGTGAGCTAAATAATAATTCTAACCAAATTCACACTTGTTTTGACAGACAGACAAGATTATAAATGCCCCGTCATGCTTTTCCTTTGGTCATTAAATCGCGATAACCCCGAACTAATAAGTTGTATCTAGTGCTTTCGTAAACTGACTTTCTCGCATACGGGCTTACATC